AAAAAAAAAAAAAAAAAAAAAGATTTCTACTCAAAATTCTAGTTTATGAATAGTGTAAACCAAACATCTCAAATCTGTAGGTCTGCCTTTGGTGGGAACTATTTCTTTAGGGTAAGTTCTCAAAAATGGGGCTACAGAGAGGATGTTTGACTTTTGGCATTTGTCACCAAGTTGTTTTTCTGATTATCCTTGCTTCCTGACTTTGGAACTTTTATCTTAATATTACCTGTTACTGTTACTTTGTTTTTTAAAAAAACAGTTGTTTGAAAATTTTAATTGAATGACTTAGGTTTGGAAAATCCTTACAATGTGTCAACCAGCTTTTTTTCAAACAATTGTTGCCTTGCTTTTAAAATTACTTTATAGGCAGTAGGCATGAGGCTCTAAGTATTTTTGCTTTCTTTCATTGGCAGCTTGTCAGTATTATAGATTTAATTTGAATTATGATGTTATACAAAATATTTGTGAATCTTATATGTTTGAATTTATCTGCTTTCTCACTAAAAGTTTAATTTTATTCCTATTAATTACTCCAGACAGACATGGTACCATGGAGCTAAATCCCCTGCCCACTCCAAAATATCGAAGTTTTCCCATACTCTGTAGTAACATATTGAAGAGTTTGATCTAAAACCTTAATAGTGAATCTTTCTATACTGGCCACAGTTCCTTCATATTGTTTTATTAATAGTATTATAGATCATTGCTGAAGTGCTACTTCTATGTAATTTTTAAAGAACTTTAACTCAATATTGTAAAATAATTAAAGATAGTTTAGCAGTATCTATCAATTTTATGTGCCTTTATCTTTTTTGTTTAGCACTTATATTTTCAAGAATCCTTATTGTATAAACACTACCATGTATGCAGAAAAGATATATGGCAAGGGTGTACAGTTGTAGTGATACTTTTTATAGTGAAAAATAAAAATAATTTATCAGTAGGGAAATTGTTAAAATAAGCTGTCACATTCATAGAGTGAAATAAGTAATTATTACCAAAAATAAGTTAGCTGTGTACTGAGATTTAAAGGTGGGAAAAGCTAGTGGTGAATACAAGGTATGATTGAAAAAAAATGTTTACATTTTAAAACTTTTATTACAGTCAAAGACACCTTGCAATGAATCTCCCTCAGAGTACTGCCCCTCTTTCCGCACACGCATTCCATATTCCATCATTCTTGCCACTTTTTGAAGCAGTCCTAGAAGTCCTCTTTCATATATGTCTTTAGTTGCAATGTCATGGCTGCTTTGATGTCCTGAATTAATTCAACACATTTACCTTTCATGGTCATTATGACTTGGGAGAGGAGCCAGAACTTGTATGGTGTCCGATCTAGTAACTAAAGTGGATAAAGACCACAGTAATTTTTTAGGAGCCTTCCTTTCTCTTGCATGGCACTGAGCAACTGCATTCACCATATTTTTTATCACTTTGTAAAGGCATTCATGAAAGAGAACTCAGAACTGCTTTAGAATATGGCAAGAATGATACATTTTTGAAGCAATGGGGATTATTTTGAAGGACATTAATGGCAGTGTCTTTTATGGTAATTTAAAAAAATTTAAACATTCTTTGTATATTTTGATCACAGTTTGTGTACTTATGCACAGTAAAATTTAGAAGGGAATACAAAGAGAAGTGCTCATGTGGAAATGGAGCTTGGATGATGATAGTCATATGTATCTCTATATTGATAATCTACACAATGAAGATGTATCAGCTTTGAAACTAAGAAAGAGGTTTAACAGCATAGACGTTAGGTGTTAGTTTTGTTTGTTTGTTTTGGTTCTTTTGAGACAGTCTCGTTATGTAGTTGAGACTGACCTGAATGAAACTCACTGTGTAGCCAGCCCAGGTTGGTCTCAGACGCACAGCGATCCTTCTGCCTCAGCTTCCCAAGTGCTGGGATTACAGGCATGTACCACCACACCTGGCTAAGGTGTTAATTTTTAAAGTATTCAGAACAAACAAAGAGTATTCTGAACACATTGGATGACTGGGGATTAAACTCAGTTGTTCTGCCACCTGCCTTGCAAGCTCAAGTTCCCGAGTTTGACCCCTGGTACACCCCCACAAAAGTGACTATTCAGAACATATTGGAGACTTCTTTTTGTAATCTCTTGAAGTTAGTAACTTCCGTTTGCACCTTCTTTTTCTGTTGACCCGGCACACCAGGTCTCAGAGCTGCATCTACTTACAGCAGCTAAAGTGAGACTTGAGAAGGAGGGAGACTGCATGAAGAAACAGTTCACTGTAAAATTTGTTTTTTGTGCGGCCAGTCTTAGGGCCAATTAGAATGTAGCTAGTAAGTCTGAAACCATTAGTAATACAAGTAGCACTAAATTCCAAGGGAAATTTATGGATAAGGATTGTTGTGAAAAAAATCATTTCAGTAGTATTGTATCTGTAGTATTGTAAAGTGTTAACACAAGGGCTGGGGATTTAGCTCAGTGGTTCCGGCGCCTGCCTCACAAAAAACACAGGGACAGTATAAATGTTAGCACAGAAACAAATTGTGTTGCTGTATATGTGAAAGGGAGAGATTAATTTTAGTGTGAATTGACCTCAGATGTAGGTGTGTTATCACACTGACCAATAGGAATTAGTTACAGTAGAGCTCTGGAGGTTTGCAATGAATAAAGAACTTGGGAAAGTGACATATGTAAAGTGCTAGGGCCAAGAGTTAAAAAATCAGTAACAGTTGGTGAGTGATTACGTCATTTGTAGCAATAGAGGTCAGTCAACATTTACATAATTGTTACAAAGGCCAGAACTACAGATCTATTAGGGCCTACTTGTGTTTTTTCAGGTGTAAGTCCTGGTTCATTGGTGGATTACTTCCCCAACTTATATTTCCAAGGCTCTGTTCTGTCTCAGCATACTCAACATCTGCATATAGTTTTGCACATTAGACACATTCACATCAACGTCCATTTAGATTCATTGTACCTTCAGTTCTACTTAATCAGTCCATCACTTCTCTATCCTGTGTTCAGTGTTCTTAGTTTCACTCGCTACTTTATATAATGTTTGGTTTTGAGTAATTTTTTTTTTAATGATAGAGAGGAAAACTGTATTTGAACTTGGAGTAGGACATTTATTTTACTTAAACAAAAAGCTTTGCTTTGACCCAGAATCTAGAATAGGGTTATCTACCTACTATAATTTTATTTGTGTTGCCAATGTTTTAGTCTAAGTACTTATTTTAAATTGGTAATAAGAAAAAAATGAATTCTCATTGATGGAACTTTTTTTCCTCCAGACCAGAATCTGTAGAAGCTAGCCCTGTGGTAGTTGAGAAATCCAACAGTTATCCCCACCAGTTATATACCAGCAGCTCACATCATTCACACAGTTACATTGGTTTGCCCTATGCGGTAAGTGTCAAACGTTTCTCTGGAAGAATATTTTTAAAATTTAGAGGTTGAAATGTGATGTGTATAGTATTGTGCTTAAAACTCAGAATTTTAAAAGCACAATTGTTTGCTATTTGATCAATTAGATACGTAGTTTGTTTGTTTTGTTTTGTTTTCCAGTACTGGGGATTGAACTCAGGACCTGCACTTACTTGTGAGGCAGGCGCAGTGCTACTGAGCTAAATTCCCAGCTCTAGATATGTAATTTATAGTTTAAATTAATCTATCCATATTACTTAAGGGATTAAAAATTTTAAAATTAAGGCCAGGCGTGGTGGTGCATGCCTGTAATCCCACCAGTCGGTAGGCTGAGGCAGGAGGATTGCTGTGAGTTTGAGACCAGCCTGGGCTACATAGTGAGTTCCAGGTCAGTCTCAACTACGTAGTGAGACCCTGTTTCAAACCCCCCCAATTTTTTAAAATTATAATTATTTTAAAAATTTTGTGCTCTTAGTAATTTGATGAGACTATAGTTAAAGTTATATTGTGCTATGTGTTATTCTAAATTATGTAGTAATTTACATAGTAAATTATATAGTTATCATTTTTAGAACACTTGTTATGTTGCAGGCTAATCTTAATCCTCAAAAACAACTTCGTGAAATGTAGTTTTCATCCCTGTCCCGTAGCTGAGAAAAAAATTCATCTAAGTTTAATCAGTATTGCATATCTAGTAGGAAGCAGAGTTTAAATTTAGATATTTTCAGAATTGGACACATTTGTGATATTATGAAGGTACAATTATGAGAATTCTTTTACTTGGACCAGAATAAACAGTACCAATTTTTTTAAAGTTCCATATTATATACTTTACAGTAATAATGTATCTTCTTTTGTTTTTGTTATTCTTATCCTCTGTATTCCTAAGTTTTTTTTAAATCTTTACTCCCACGTCATGTACCCGCTTTCATTGTGAAGGTGAAACTGTGTGACCAAATAACTGTGAAGAATCTTCTGATTTAGGGAGGGGAAATGATTTTGATGTGAAGATGGACCCCACACACAGACACACACCTTGTAAATAGCTGTAGTCACTTAAGAGCTAGCTTCAGGGCCAGGGATTTAGCTCAGTGGTTCCGCCGCCTGCCTCGCAAGCACAAGGACCTGAGTTAAGGACCTGAGTTCAATCCCTGGTACCAAAAAAAAAAAACCAAAACTGCACTAGGAGGCTGAACCAGGAGGATCATCACAAGTTTGAGGCCAGCCTGGGCTATAAAGTGAGTTCAAGGCCAGCCTGAACTACATATAAGACCTTGTCTCAAAAATAAAACAAAAAACCACATCCAGCTTCATCAAGTGATCATTGTAAAGATATTAAAGAAGAAATAGACGAATTTCATGTCTCTTGAATGTTCAAAGTAATGGTTTGATTTTAAGTTACTTAGCTCACATTGTGCTGTATTTGTATTCCCTTATCTAGGACCATAATTATGGTGCTCGTCCTCCTCCAACACCTCCAGCTTCCCCTCCTCCATCAGTTCTTATTAGCAAGAATGAAGTAGGCATATTTACCACTCCTAATTTTGATGAAACTTCCAGTGCTACTACAATCAGCACATCTGAGGATGGAAGTTATGGTACTGATGTAACCAGGTGCATATGTGGTTTTACACATGATGATGGATACATGATCTGTTGTGACAAATGCAGGTAAAACATCTCACACCATTAGCTTGTTTTTCTTGAATGCTTCTAACCTTGACTGTTAATTTGGAAATGATAAGTGAAGTCACTTTTGAAGAAATTAATGAACCCATTTTTAAGTGGTACTCTGTTACTATTGATGCATTCTGTTTTGTTCCTAGAAAAAGCCTTTATTGAAAGAAGCTATCTTAGAGCCTATTAGAAATCCCCATTGTAAGTTGAGCAGTAATCAGTTCTGAATTCTACTCATTTGGGATCATCTCTCTTTTAGTTCAGTACAAGTACATATGTAGGAGTGGACAGGCTAGAAATGAGAGGAGAATTGAGTCCCTTGTATTTCCGTTGGAATGATTTCTGCTGTCTAGTCAACTGTGATTTTCCAGTTTAGGGGAATTAAACATTTTGATTGATGTTTGTTTGACCTGACTCTCTCACCTCCTTTTGACTTGAACCTTGCAGCACTCTGGAGTCTTCTTGTACCAGAACCACAGTCTCCCCTCCCCCCAACCCTGGTTCAACCACCAAGAAAGGCCTCTTCCCCTAGAGAAGGTGTGATTGGGACAGCAAGTGGGGTTTTCTTTCAGTTTTTTTTTGTTTTTGTTTTTTGTTTTGGTGGTTTTTTGGTTTGTTTGTTTATTTTTGTGGGAGGGATTTGGGGTGGATGGAGAGGGAACAGTAGGATTTTAGCCTTAAAGTTACTGAGTTCATCCCCTGCATAGGGTGGGGAGCAGAGTATTTCAGCCGTGCATTGTAGAGGGCGAGAAAGTTTGGTAGCATTACAGAATTTCTTGGGTTCATGTCTTTATGGCATAGCTTCGTTATTTGAAGTAGTATGATTTATATCCATATTTGAATGTGAGTATAAAAATGCATCCTGGAGCCAAATATAAATTACTTTGTAGTATTTGTAATATTGTTCTTACCCATTAGAGTGATGAGGGGTTGGAAATTAAAGTGCTATGCAGAAATTTGATAGTTTTATGGAAAGTTATTAATATGAATAATTTGAGTTTATTTTAATAATAACATACTATAATATCTTCTCACATTTAAAAAATAAATTTTCATTACCTGTGATACATATCATTACTACAAATAATGACCTCAGTAAATTTATTTAGGATATAATTTAAAAACCAAAAAAATAACTTCAGTTGCTTACTGCTTTCCTTGTATTAGAAAGTGTGAAGTTTATTATAGCCAGTCTTTTAGCTGATTATCTGAAGGAAAAAATTGCATACCATTTGGCAATGTTTTTATTTTAACAGATAATCTAAGCAGAGTTTTTCTTTTGATCAAATTACAATGATCTGTAAATATAAATATGCAGTTATCTTTATTAGATAATAGGGAAATTGTCCTTAGAGGTTTTTGTTTTTTTTGTTTTGTTTTGTTTTTTTTACACCTATCTACATTCTTATAGGACAACTGCAGAGTTTTTGGATTATTGAGGGTGTTTGTTTCTCAGTGACTGCCCTTGTTCTTATGACTCTGACTTCCTCTCCCTCTTGCTCTCTTGCCTCTCTCTGTCCCTCTCTGGTTCTTTTTTCTGTTCAACTTTTAGCTTTCTGTAAGGCTCACTCTTTCTTTTTTCTTCTCTATTCATTCTTACATTGTGTCTTTTGTTTTTTCAATGTCCTATTGCATATACCTTTCTTTTAAAGTCTAACATCTCTTGCTCTGATCACTTCTTAATTTTCTAGCTTTTTTTTTTCTGTTGTCTGCATGACATCACGATTTATCTCTCAAATTCAATGTAATTTGCTATTTTAATTTTCCTTGTGGTTTTTTGTTTGTTTGTTTGGTACCAGGGATCAAACTGGGGACCTTCTGCTTGCAAGGCAGGTGGCAGAACCACTGAGCTAAATCCCAGTCCATAGGTTATAATATTTGCTCAAGAACACTTAACTTTTTTTGGTACTGGTGATCAAACTTGGGACCTTGCACTTGTGAAGCAGGTGGTGGCACCACTGACCTAAATCTCCAGCCCTAATTTTCCTTATTCTTTGTCTTGTTTTTTTTCATTTCTTTTGTATATATATTTTCATACTCCCATATTCTACCAGTTTTTTTCTGAACTTTTTCAGTTGAGAAGTAAAAAGAATGAGTTAGGTTAGTACTTTTATATTAGATGTGGCTAATTTTCATGTAAAGAAGTATTAAGACTATGTTTAGAAACATATATATAT